TGAAAATTGAACTAGCCATTCTTTGCATTGGTGAATATTTGCTACTAAAACCAAGGAGATGGACTCATGTCATTCCTTCTGCTCCTAAGAAGCATTTGTGTTTTACGATGAATTGTGAGAGGAGTAGGAATCTCCAGTCTTATTAAGTCGGGCAACACTTAAAGTTATACAGGGAGCATGACAAAGAGGTGGGGGAATACTGGATCTACCTGGGGCACTAGGCTCTGATGGAGTTCGTGAGTCACTTCAGGGGAAGGGCAGTTTCACTGGCCCAAGGAGTATGAGGAGGAGGAAGAGGAGAGATTCCAGGGTGGTTATTTTCATCAAACAGAAAAGAGAAACATACCCCTGAGAGACTGGTGGGGGTCAAATGATGGAATGGTCAATGATATCAACTTCTTCTTCAGTGAAGTTGCTTCACAGGCTTTTCTAGTGATAATGACTTACAGAAGCCTATACATAGGAGATTTCACTCCACTTTCTACGCTTGTTGCATGAAACATCCACCTCAAAAGAGTATTATAATTTAAACTGCCAATCTTTACCCATCTCTCATCATTCCCTAGTTTGTATTGGACCATAACCTTGTAATCATGGATAAATTGTTACTTTTTCAAATCATCAGGCGTCAAATGTTTCTATTGAAGGATATGACCTAATGGAATATTTGCTAGGATCTGTGGAGTGTTGCTCAAGATGTTTGCATGCCACATCTTGAAGCCTATAGGGAGAAAGAACTAGGTCTGATTCTAATTAAGAGAGCATCTTTTGCAGAAGGAGGAAGACCTGTGTGCTCAAAATGAGCCCCTTGTGATACTCAAATACTTTCTCCTTAGATGCAGATATATCTGCTCAGAACTCAAGTAGTGACACTGGTGTTTTAGCTTTCTAATAGTCCTTAGACTTAAAACTCTCCAGAATGTGAGCCACCAACTCCTTGGAGAGAAAGATGAAGCTCTCAGGGGCTCCCTTAGTCGCTTGAGATTCATTAGATCAGGATATAAACCTGCAAGTGCTCTCTTGACAAGCCTGGAAACAATATCTCAAGGAAAGAAAGATGGAAATCTAAAGTAAGTATCTGAGTGTGAAAAAAGGAGATCCAAACCAAGTCCCATATATTCCTGGAAGCACAGGTTTTAGCTCTTAGCTATAAAGATGAGCAAACCACAATCCTTGTCCACTCACAAGGCTTAAAAAATAAAATTCTAACTTAACTTTTCTAATTGAAAGAAATCAACAAATACAGTAGTCCTGAAAAGAGCAAATTAAGTTCAAAAGACTATATTAAAAGGAAAAAGTACTTGTGAATAGTAAGGATAAGTGGGCAGTGGCTGTTGATCTAATTAGATGGATTAGAACTGAATAATTAGGTATACTCAAAGCATGAATGTTCATGCTTAGCAAGTACTCAATAAATCACAAACCTAGAACAGTAAGTTCCCTAGATGTTTGCCAGACTATAAATTCCAAGGTCTTTCAAGCTCCTTGTTATGAAATGATTTCTCTTCCACTTAGTAAAGAATAAAATAACAACTAACCCAAGATGTTTTTAGAATAAGACTTTTGCAGACACATCCATAATTTTTATTACCTTGCCTAGCAAAGCACAAGAATACACAAGAATACTTTAAAGAGTAGGATGATTAAACAATTGTTCTCATTGAGTTTTTAAAATCTAGAGGACTGGCACTTTCTTAAGAATACCTTTACAACCAGATTAGAATAATTGGTATAACAAGATGCAAATAATAACACATTTAAAACAGCTTTAAATGCATTTTCACAGGTAACTCAGATTATGTTCAGCTATGATTAAGAATGAAAGTGTGTATATTGCTCAAATGGAAACATGTGGAGTCTCACTCGTACACTGTAGAGTGCAGATACACATTTTGCTTCATCAGAAGCACCTGGTTATCTACAATTAGTTTACAATTTTAAATGACATTTCAATCAAATTTTATATGTGAAATAATTATAGAGTAGGCAACCAAATTAAATTCTAAAACTTGAAGATGCCTGAATTAAACATTTGCTTTCTGCTAAACTCTTTTCTTAGTTTTAGATTTGTCAACATGGTATAAATCTTTCTTAGTCACACAATCTAAACCACTCATGGCAAAACTTTTAGAGCTTTCAGTGACACCTCTGCAGCTCATGCACCATAAGTTCACCACCATGGATCTAAAAAGTCAACATTTAACAGGGGAGATTAGGTGTTTCCAAATCAGCATCTCACAGAATCTTTAGAAAGTAAGTAACTGGTCTGAGTTGAAAAGGTTTAGTTTCCAAACAAGTGAATTATTTGAAAGACAACAGTTCCAAAACAGAGGTGGCAGAAAGAAACAGAGCAATCTTACTCTGTAGTTTTTATACCTGCACCTTTTGCTCTTTAGACAGAAGAAACCTTTTGCTTTTGTCTTTTTCTTTTTGAGACAGGGACTCATTCTGCAGTTCAGGCTGGACTTGAGCTCATTTTGTAGACCAGGCTGGTCTTGAACTCATAACAAGAAGGCAGTGAACACAAAGTCAATTGCTGCCATCCTTTTCATGCCTTTTTGATAGTTGATCCAAGTGGTCCCGCTTATGCTCATGCTAGTAGACTGATATTAGGTTCCAGGTTTGGGGCATCCTTATATCAGAAAATTGTCACTTGTTGTAGAACTCAGCTGGAATCCTTGTCGGGCTCAGGTGCTCCTGTTCTACACCCATGGTTAGAAAGTCTTCTCGGGTCGTATGTCGTGCCCAACCGCCCAGTCATGTTGTCATGCCCTGTAGCCCACTACACAGCTGTACATGTGATTCATTTGAAAAAAATATTTTTTTCAAATTTTTCCACTCTGCTTTTCATATCAGTTCTTACAATCAGCCAATCTTATGCATGTCACAATCTGAATACTGGTTTGTTTTGAAATTCATGCAGTCAGATCAATCAGTCTATAACCCTTAATTTTATTCTTCCACAAAATCTCAGGAGATGGAAAAAATGTAGACTTCTTTTCCCACAGTGTAGCACCGATGGTCTCTAGCTTGGTTGCCAAAGGAGTCCTTATCCTCAACTGTCATTTCCTGGCCCTGGCCTTTTACTGTCAATGTTATAGTTTTCTGAACAGACAGAATCACCCATCAGACTCTGCTTAGAGCATTCTCTGTCTTCTCTAGCTTGGATCATCAAAGCTTCACAAATGCCGCACACAACCTATTTCCTAAATGCTTCTTACCTAATGGTCAAGTACACTCATAGGAGTGACCCACTTCTCTGGTTCCAGTTTCTTATTTTAGTCAGATTATCTGTTGCTGGACACAGTACATGATACAATTTATAAGAGGAGAGTTGTAATTTGACTCACATTCTCAGGGCTTTCAATCCATAGTCAGTTGTCTTCAAGGCAGAGGCATGATGATTGGAAGGGCATGGCAGAATACAGCTGCTTAGTTAATGGTTTCCAGGAAGGGGAACAGGATATGAATGCCATAGGGGAAGTGATATGAGACCAGACATAGCCCTCATGTCCACACCTCCATGACATACCTATATATATTCAGAAGTGTACTGTTCCAGAACACTAGTGTGTATCCCAAAGCCAGTCATAATGATTCTCTACCCTAGCTGCCCCAGAATCTTTTAAAAGATAAAATTTTCCCTCCATCTTAAAAATTAATTTTATTGATACATTTTAGATATACATAAAGATCACATTTATCATGGAGAGTTTATAACTTTGTGTAATGTATATTGATTCTTCTTAAGAACTGTAGGATCATCTTAGTGACCATAATTATCCAACCATCCACTGGGGTTAGCCTGTAGAAATCTTTCTTTGTGAAGCACATAGATTTTTACTTATGAAGATGAAAAAAAAGCAAACAACAGGCATTTAGAAGTAAAATGAATAAAGATATTATAATAACTATCTTCATTCTTTGAAACAGGAAAAAGAAATGTAACAATTATTACTTGATTTTAAAATATTATTTCTGCTTTTTACATAAAATATTCCTTTAAATATAATTTTGTTTATTGTTGTATGAGCTGAGTTCTTATGAAAAAGGCATTTTTTACAATGCATCTCTTTTTTTAAATGTATTAGGGTAGAAACCAGAAAAATACATGTAAAACTGGGAATGAATGAGAAACACAGGAGTAGATTATGCGAGTAATATGACAAGAAAAATAAACTTCATTCTTCAGGACTAATGACAGTGGATTTCGATGTCCAAATAAAATAACAACACAAACAGCAAGAAGTATTGTCTTCTGTGTTAAAGTAAATAATTTTTCCCTTAGTGCTTAGATTGGTTTATTTAATAATGGAATACAAAATTTATTACCATACCACAAGTAATCACAGTACCATTATTTGATCAGTTTTAACTTACCATTTCTGAGTTGGTATAGTAAAAATTAAACAACCTCTACTTGTGCTCATATAAGCATTTTTTTTGTTTGTTTTAAAGAGAAAAGAACAAAAATAAAATAACAAAAACACAGACAAAAGCAAAACAACACAAAAACAAGAAAAATGAGACAGAATTTCAAGATGACAGGAAATTAACAATGGTTGTTGTATTACATATTGTTATCTTCAAAGTAGTTGCTCAGATTACCAGATATAATTATGCAAGATTGATCAAACAATTAAACATTAACTGTTCCTTTCATTAAGCCAATAGTAATTAGTAGTACAATTATCTTAGCTATCTTGTATGAATATACATTTTTTACTTCCTTTTTTCTTTTTTTCTCCTTTCCCTCATCCCAGTTTTTCTTTCCTTTTAGCAGTTTCTTTCCCTTTCACACTGTCTACTGTACCTTTCAGATTTTATTTACTCATTCAGGTTCTTACACTAGAGAGACAATATGATGTTTACACTTGTGGGTCTGGTTTATTTCACTTGTGAGTATGGTCTCTAGTTGCATCCATTTACCTATAAAAGCCTAGAGTTTATTTTATTTTATACCTCAGTAATACACCATTATTTAAAAATACCATATCGTTTTGATCCATTCCTCAGTTGATAAGCATTTGGATTGTTTCCAAGGTTTTGCTATGACAACTTTGTTAATGAGTGAGGTTGTTAGGGCTTATGTCCAGATCTCTCCCCAAAATCACCTGCAGAGCTAGGTGGGGATTTCCAGAGATGGCTGAATCTAGAGTGTGTGATTGATTCAAGGTACCATGCTAGGGTTAAGGTGCTAGCATTAAGGGTGGGTGATTCCTAAATCAGTCCAAGGATTGGTTTGGCACCACACTAGTCCTGGTAGCCTGGATATAAGGCACAGAAAGAGGTTTGTCTTGTCCCTGCTTCCTTTGCTACCTTCTGCCCACCATGAACTTTCTCAGCTGCGATGCCTGTCTGCCGAGACAGCCTTCTTTGGATCCAGCAAACTATAGAATGAAACCTCTTCAAGCTGTGAGCCAAATAAACCTTTCTTCCCTTAACTTGTAGGTTTGGGAATTTTGTCTCAGCTATGATAAAAGTAACTAAAACGGAAGTCATGTAAAATAATTTCAAAATACTTTTTCTGAGTTACATTTATGAAGTCCATAGGTCCAAAATTCATTGCCACTGAAGCCTACAAGATTTAAAATGAGATAATGTCTAAATCCACATGTTCCAACATATCCGGATGTGGTCAGGCTACAGTTTTACTACAAGGCCACATTTCAGTAATTTCCTGTTGTTCTGTTAGGTTTCATACTGCCCTTTCTGTATTTCGAACATTCTTCTCTTCATCTCCGAGATTAAAGGGTCACAATACATTTGAGATTCTTTGGCCCCTTTCTCCTTTTCTTTCTTTCCCCTGGAGGAATAGAAGTATAAAAAGAAATAATTACCAATGACTTTGACCTTTCCACTTGTAAATTAACTTCTTTGATAATCAGTCTTTTTGCCTGGGAATTGAGTAAAGTGATAATGTAATGACATGTCAATATGTAATTACCAGTAAATTCAAAGGAAAAATGGATATAGAGCTAGTGTTTCATCACAGGGTAATTGGTCTTTCAAAAGCATTTTTTGTTACTATATCTTAAATGAATGTCACATATATTTATACCAATAAACCACCAAATATACTAAAAAAGACTGTAAGATTCAAAATTTTGTAGCGATATGATACAACTGGAAAAATTATCATTTGATGTGTGAAGATAGATGAAAGTTTTATTTATAGATATCATTTGGAGACAAGTTTTTGTTAGAAAAGGAAAGATTGTGTTTACAATTTTGCTTTGTCTTGACTGAAGAAAGATATATGTATGTAATCCAAAAAAGCCGCAGGTTTTTATGGATACTGCTTTTTCCATGTCACTATAACTATTAAAATTAGAGATGAAAAAAATTTAAACTCTAAGAACAATAAAAGAAAGAGGATAATCAAGTAACACACTTAAATCAGTGCAAACTTCAGGATAAAAAAGATGAAAGAGCCTTTCCTCAGTTTAATTCCTTGGAATTTTAGCTATTTTTAAATGATATATTAAAAAAATCACTGAAAACTAGAACTTAATTCATTCAATGTTTAAATAGTATACATAGAAAACCTTTAGAGAGATGATTAACGACTGGTAGGGTTAAAGAATGTCCATTCTTTCATTATTTTGCCTAGAAATAGCATTGTTAGATTAAGTTAATCTATTCTCTCAAACTTAATATTAGTTCATAACATCAGTTTTGTAATCAAACATGAAAAGCTGCTAATAAAACTGACTCTGCTAATAAAGTTGACTCTTTTATGTTTTATCTACTTTCATTTCTTGTCCAGTACTGAAGGTGCTTATAGATAAGAAGTTTGCAAGAAAAGAAATGTAAACATGCAGATATTTAGCCTGTGAACATTTTCAAATGACTCATTTTTTCTCAGTAGTTTTGCCAAGAAACCTGATTAAATTAAGAAAGCAATACTGAGATGTAGTAGGTGGTAAAATAGAAGGCATATAGAATGTTCAAAGAAAACTAAGTACATATTTTAATATGTAAAGAATATATTTCATGTCTATAAAGTTCAAAATAATAATTTTACTTTTAATATATTTTATACTACTACAGTATTTCATAAAAATAACAAAAATATTGTAAACTAGTATTTTACAAAGATTGTGTTAATTTTTTTATTTGCTAATGCCTATTTTGACAGTAAACAAATCTGTGATAAAGATATCTTAAAGCTTCTTACTTTTTTAAAAAATTCTGAAATAAAATAAAAGCTTCTTAGTAATACACAGACCTAATGCACGCTACCGTCCCAGTTACACTGGGTATATTGAATACTTCCTTCACTGGTAGATTGCTAGTAAACTTGTCTGGATAAGTTTTTCCATTTTTTAAATTTTTGTATTAAAGCTGCTACTTGAGATAATAATCATTTAAGATTGCAACTTTTGAATGATGTTAAGTGATTAAGACCTTTGGAAGCAAAAAAATGAGCATATGACTGTACATTTACTTATATAATCAGATACTCCTCACATATATCATGAAACTTTTATCTCCTAGGTATTTAGATCCTTTGTATTTTCAAAATGGATAAAGTAGAATCCTGGGCATAGTTGCTGGGAAGCCTTCTTCATGACAAGGAAGTGTCTTGGCAAGTGTTGGGCTTTTCAGAAAGAAGAGGCACAGCAGATCGATGGCTAAAGTTTATGCATGAAGTCATGTGATCACATCAGAGGGAAGCAGAGCTTTATTTTGACTCTTTATACCACAAAGGTATTGGGCAATGGAATCATAATTTTACAATGCATTTTGAAAAGCCTATTGCAGACGCTGTGGTAAATCACAGTCAAATAAATAAAGGCAGTGAAAAGGCTGCTCTTGTAGTATAGACATAGTACATTAAATGACTGGTACTGTTCAAAAGCACAGTATTCTAAATACACAGTTAATCTCAATGACTTGGTCAATGTTTTGCATTTTCTTTGTGATAGAGAATAGTTGTTGAATATGTTTTTCCAAAAGAACAATAAAATCACTAATGAAAAATCAAAAACACAAAGAGAAAGAAATCAAATTTTGAAGGGTGAAGAAAAGTGTGTCAACAAGATATTTTGTAAGTGACTGTTATAATTTATCACTTAGAAATATTTAAAAAATGCTTGATCCTTGGTAGAAAATCAAACGCCTATGATAGCACTTAGAAATATAAAACAATGTTTTATCCTTGATAGAAAATCAAAATATAATAAATATTTATAAAAGTAGAATTTGCTTAGTAGATACAGCTGAATGTCAAGACTTCCAAAGAAGACAAATCACAATGTAATCAACAAAGTTAGTATATAAATGTCCGTATATCATGTTTTGTAGAATTTTAACATCCTCTAACTAAAAAATTACCCAGCGCTTTCATGAATGAATCCTTTATGCTTTTTGGGTACGCAGTGCTTTGCATTCATCAGCCCTACGCTCGGCCTTGCCTGACACTCACCTGGACACAAACACTGGGCTTATATGCCCCAATATCATTACTCATTTTCAAACACTTATAACACTTACAAATATATTGTATCTTTTTCTTGCATTTTGTTGATTATAATGTCTGTTCCATGGTTGAGTATGAGCTCTGCAGAGTTAGACCTTTTTCCCCCTTTTCTTGTTTACTATTATGTTTCCACACAAAGAAATGATATTTACTGCAGACAGAATGTGTGCAGAATGAATGAACCAATACAATTTTATGTTCTTGGGAAGCAGCTTTCATTTGTCATGGAAATATGAAACAAATAATTCCCACATTCCAAAACATACAAGTAAATGAAATTGTAATCTGTCATATTTCTAGGGAGACAGTTTTGGAGCAGAGTGTAGTTAAAATGAAAATCTGTCTCCTATATACTAATTGAAATAATTTTGGAGAATGAATTAATAGGTAAGTTTATTGCCTTTCTTATTACAAAAATATAATACTAATATATGAATGTTTCTTTGGGAACAAAAAAGAAAATGTGCATGAAATCTATCATGAAGAATCAGAAAAGTAATGCAATACATACATAACTTATGATTTCCTCTGAGAGAATAGTATTATGAAGATACTGAAAAATAGCAAAATTCTGCACGTAGTTAGAAATTGGAAGGGAATTTAAAATTGTGAGCAGCAGAAAGCTGTATTATTGAATTGAGCCCCAATATCATTATATCATTCTGAGAAATGTAGAATTCATGGTTCACTCTGAGCTTGGACTGAATGCTGTTTACATTTTCCTACAAATATGGTCAATGTAAACATTTATGAGAAATGTCAGCACTGTTTAACAAGACAATAATTAGCTGGCTTGTAAGAAATAGGGAGGGAGGAAGTCTTAAGCCCCAGCTTACTACTACTTTCATGGAACTATTTGATAATGGACTAGATATTCATTTTGTGTTGCTGTTTAGCAAGTTACAAAATCTCACTAGCTTAAAAAAATAACTATTTATTATTCTCTATTTCTGTAGTTCTAGAATTCAGAAGCAGATTAAAAACATGTATTTTTCTCTGGTTTTCTCAATAGACTAAAATTAAGACAGGATGGGTTACAGTTGTCTGAAGGTTAAACTGCACCCCTTTCTATATAGTTCACTGCTGTGGATATTGGCATGAGGCCTCAGTTCTTTGGTATGTGAACCTCTATATAGCAATTTTGAAGCATCCCCATACCCTGGCACCTCACTTCCTTCAGAACAAATGATCCAAGATAAAAAAAAAAAAGAAAAACATCCATCACAGTGATTTTTTTCAACCTAACCTTAGAAAACATGCAATGCTTTTTCTTCAAAACCTATACTACTTATACAATCAGCCCTGTTCATCATGACAGGAGAATACACACAGTATTAATAATAAGATGCAGTGATCAAAGGATGCTTTCTAGTCCATCACCATTAAGCAATTATAGTTAACAACCAATGCAGCTAATAATATAATTTAAGAACTTTGTGTTGAAATTTAATAGAATTTTCTTATATACTGAGATTATAGGTGCTTTTTGCATGAACAATAGGATGATTAATATTTTTATTTGTGCTAATATTTGATAGTATTTGACTTCTCAGTATTCTACTGTAGGAGATAGCAACTCTTAGCATATCATTTTAAGACAGAATAATTCTAGTCTTAGTGCCAGCCTCAAAATGTGTCTTGAGAAACATCCCGGAGGGGTTGTAAGGAGTTAACTTTTCAGTCCTGACTTAGCCCTGGAATACTTCTCCAAAACAAAGAACACCGAGGCCTAGATAACTGCCTATGACCTTGCCTGGGTTGTTTCATCCTATTTCTGGCCCTAGATAAATGTTAAAACCATAAAGGAAATGTATAATTATCTAAGGGGGACATATAGAACAGAGTACAGAAGGTATATATCATTGTGGTTGGGCTCACAACCTAAGCCTGACACAGTTACATGGCACAAGGAAAACAGTGTGTGGCCAGGGCTACAACATTCCAATCTGTTACCATGGAAACCAAACAAGTATACAAGGTGGGAACAAAGGCAGGCCCATGCCCACTTCCCTGATTTGCAAATCAGTGATGAAGGGTGGCTAGCCTCAAATTAAACTCTCTTTGTTGCTAAATAGAGTCCTTTGGTTTCTTGTGGAATACAACCAGATTTCTGCCTTTACACCATTCCATTCTTTCCAATCTACTCGGAATTATCTTCAGTGATGCAAACTACACATTGTCCTTCCCTCTACTTTAATAGCTTGTCACTAACAAAGGACAAATCATGTATTAGTTATGACTGTCATCCACATGGCTGGACTTGAAGATACAGGCAGTGAAGAGTTTTACATTATCCACAACTCACATGTGTCACACTCTGA